TAACTCTTTCATCAAACACACTTCCTTCGGGTCATACTGTGAAATATTTCTGGCAGAACCTTAGAGAGAAGAGAGTTTGTTTCATAAGATTCTTTCTCCTTTAGATGAAACTTTATCTTGCTCTGTTGAGTGGATCCTTCTCTTGAGTGGGCAGGCAAGAAAATAGAGTGTATTATTCCTGACCATCTCACGTAAACAGTTTTGCAGGGTCAGGATTGGGCAGGAAATTGAAGAGGTTCAGCAGTGAGCTGAGGGTGTTTCACATATGAACAAGTTGTCTGCTAATTTGTGCTAGAACATTTCCAGTGCTGGTAATATTTTTTAAGGTAACCTATTTTTATCTTTTGTCAGTTACGTTGTCCTTTATATCGAACCCAACTTTTTCTGTAGTAAAATCTTAGCTACCTGCTTTTGATTGTTCATTTCATTAGGATACTGTCTGACCTTTGTACCTAGCACTCAATGAAGGTGAACAGTGTCCTCTTCCCAAAAGCCCCACCTCTAACACTATGAGCAAGTACATGAACCAGTGGACACGTGAACTGCTGGGGAACATTTCATACTCAGACCCTAACACAGTCCTCTCTTCTTCAGTCTGAACTTCTCTCAGGTGTTCTGTGGACGTTTTTAAGAAAAAGTGACTGTGTCGATCTAACCACTCATACTACCCAAGTTATTTTATTTCCAAATTGGCTTTACTATGCTACTTTCTAAATTTAATATACATGAAGATTATAATAATTGTAGATCTGATGGATTAATGTTACTATCTTAACATTGAAATTTTTATTTTTAGAAAAAGATATTCATGCGCACAGATTAAAGAATCACATATTTCTACAAAGTTAGTTAACAAAAATAGCAGTCTTCCATTTTTTCCTTTCCCCTTCTCAGAAGCACCCATATTATTTAGCTATTTAATTATTTTGACATTAACTTGGTGTTTCTAAATAACATGGATACATTATATTCTTATAGTCAACATTTATGTGATTACATTGATGTAACATACTCGGATGAATTATGTATTATGCAGTATATTATGACATCCCTTTTTCTGTAAATTTTTGTTTCCTTCTATCAATAATTTCCTTTTCCCTCATTTGATTGTTTTTCCATGTGCTTGTCATTGACTCAGTCTTTGCTGATTGTTCACGTCCCCTCCGTAGATGTTGAGCTGTCAAGCACCGAGTTCATTTCCTTTCATGGAAGAGACCTCTTCCTACACCGTCTGACTACTCACATGTGCACTGGCTGCCATCTACCTGAGAACATTAACCTCAGACCATCCGTTCCTAGCACTTCAGGGATTTCCTTTCTTTTCTTCGTCTTCCGTGTTAATAGCTCCATTTTATATAGGTTTTAAAATCTATTTTCTTACTTTACCCTCTCATTTGGATGATTATACTCCCAGTAGCTTTTCGAGAAGAGGTACAAGGGAGGGTGTATGAAAACATCTTCATTCTTTTCTGACATTTAAGCTATAGTTTAGCTGAGTGTAAACTACTAAAATAACGAATTTTCTTCAAAAATTTGAAGGCAGCATTAAAAACTTGAAGGAGGTACAAAAAATTGTCAAGGCCTTTAAGAATTTTTAGTTTCAAATAATTTGTTTATGGAAGAGTTACCAAAAAAGTTCAGAGTTCTGTATACCCTTCACTTGGCTTTTCCTAATGTTAACATTTTATGTAACCATGGTACATTTGTCAACACTAAGAAACTAACAGCAGTGCACTGCTGTTAACTAACCTGTAGACTTAGTCATACTTCATCATATTTCCGTAACATCCTGTGTCTGCTCCAGGACCAAATCAAGCTCTAGGTTGTATTTAGCCGTCACGTCGCCTCTGCTCTGTGACAGGTGCTCGGTATTATCTGAGTTTTACTAACTTTTGGATGGTAGGGGTCACTATTTTATAAAATGTTTCTTACTGTGGTTTGTTCATTGTTTTCTCTGGTTGACACCTGGTTACAGATGTTAATGAAAATGTCCGTCTCCCAGGCGATGCATGGTAGCAGCCTGACAGTGCCCATAGTGACTCTGGTCCCTTGGTTACGGTGGTGTCTGCTGGGCTCCTCCAGGGTGAAGTTAACTGCTTTTCTACTAAGTTAATCACTAAGTCCACCCCACATTAAAGGAAGGGAAATCAACTTTACCTACTTGAAAGAGGACTGTCCAATAATTAGAGGGCACACATTAAAACTACCAAAGCCACCAGAGGAATTAGCAAATATTTAGAGGAGCTATTTTGAGGCTATGAAATGTCCTTTTTTTCTTTAAAGTTTTGCTACTAAAAGTAGCATTTATTAATGATCCTCACTATTGCCTTTCAACTTCTGTTATTGCTGCCTGTAAATTCCAATTCATCCTAACTTTTGATTCTGACATTGGACTTCTCTATGAGGGAGGTTATAGAATCTCTTCCTTTGGTGTTCTGAAATTTCTCAAAAATATACTCTGGCACGAGACTCTGTTCCTCATGCTGGACCTTCAGTGGTTCCTTTCTGAAACTGAGATCTTTTGGTTTGGGGACATTTTCTGAATTATATCCTTGGATGATTTTTTTCCTGCCCTCTCTCTCCTGTGGAGCTCTCAATATTTCATTTTGGACTTCCAGGACTAGTCCTGTAATGTTGGACAGATCCGGGGGTAGTTGAGTCTAGTGTTGAATGCTTTTATTCTTTTTCTTTTCTTTATTTTTCTTTTTTATTTTTTGAAGCATCTTGATGTTTAGTTCAGGCTGAACCTGAGTTTGCTATGTAGTCCATGCAGGCCTTGAGCTCATGATCCTCATGCCTCAACCTCCCTAGTGCTAGGATTATAAGGCTTTTGCTACCACCCCCAGCTTGCTTTTTCCATTTCTTGTGCTTTATGTAATATTTCTCAGCTATATCATTCAATGCTTTTGTTGGTTTTGTTCATTTCAGGTAATATTTTTTCAGTCTCTAGCTTCTCATTTTTTTATTCTCAAAATATTTTTCTGGTATCGGATTCTATTTTTCATAAATCTTTTATCTCTCTTATGAATGTTATGTTAAAGTTCTCCAAAAATTTCTTCTCCTTGCTTGTGCCTGTTTTCCATGTTGGTAACTTTTTTCAGATGTTTTATAATCTGCTTCTGTGGTAGTTGTAAGGATGCAGTAGGACACAATGGCCTTGGGCTTCATTGTAGGGTGGCCTGGCTGGGTTGCTACCCAAGATATGTGAATTATGTCCTCTTGGATATGTCACATTCCCCAGAGAAGGAACCTTCACATGTCTGCCTAGATGGTGAAGCCATAGCTGTCGAGGGAGTAGATTGCAGGAAGAGGGCAAGAAGGATGCCAAGACACGAGGATCACAAGTCTGAGCCCTGCCATAGTGACTGAGCCCCTGTCTCGAATATAAATGGGAGTGAATGTAGCTCAGTGAGAAAGCTGTGAGTTCAATCTACAGTCCTGGAGGAAAAAAAAATCAGTACAGCCTTCCTATGCTCATTGAGTATTTCTGGGTACCATTTTGCCTCCTGTTCTCCAAGTTGAAGATCTTATATTTTACTTTTCCAGAGATAAAGTGTTTTTGTTTTTGTTTTTTTGTCAAGCAAAGGAGTGGCCAGTATCTACCCATCAGGAGTAGAGAAAGCAATCTGAATATTTGACTGCTCCTTGAACAGACTTTCTGCTAATGGCTTTTAGTTTGTTGCTCTTTTCCCACTTCCAGGTGTATCTGGTATCTTATTCTTTGAGCATCTGTACTGTAAAATGGGCTGATTCTCCATCCATTCTGCTGCTGCCTTGTAATCCAATGTCTTACTATCTCCCCTTTCCATTCTCTCAATTCCTACAGGTTAATATCTTTTGAGAAAAATCTGTTTACTCTCACATTAATGGTGTTCCATGAAGGAATAAAATTAGATGTGTGTATGTTTAGTTTGCCCTTCTGAAATGTGTCTCTCTCTCTCTCTCTCTTTCTTTCTTTCTTTCTCTTTTTTTCTTTCCTTCCTCTCTCTCCCTCCCTCCCTTTTTTTTTTTTCCTTCCTTCCTTCCTTCCTTCCTTCCTTCCTTCCTTCCTTCCTTCCTTCCTTCCTTTCTCTCTTTCTCCTTTCCTCTTCTCTTAGAATATTAGTAGAGTATCAAATCTTGAACTCTAGGCCATCGTAAAGACTTGAATTTGGAATACAGAGAGCTGCTGAGTACAGCCTGCAGTGGGCCAAGGGTAGACTCAGGAGAGCTAGAGAGGAGACCAGGGAAGTAAACCAGTAGGGGCCGTGGACCAGTCTCATAGCAGCGGAGGTCCAGAAACATTTTGAAGCTGTGGTACTGTGCAGATGTCAGATATTGTTATTGTTATTGCTCAGTGGAAACATTCTAGCATAGGGGACAGTTCAGTGCAGTGGAGACACATTAAAAACAGGGATGAAAAAAAAAACAGGGATGAGATGTACAAATGACCACATGGACGGATGGAAAAACAATGCTCGGTGAAAAAGTAGCAAATGGAGTAGGATATTTAAGTCAGGAAATCAGTGCCCAGAAAATGAGAACATATTTTCTGAAAAGACATTAAAGTACCCAAAATTGTATTAAACACATTAAAAGTCTTCCTATGGAGAGGAGATTGGCATACGGGAGAAAGGAGAAATAAATAGCAACAAGCATAGCAGGAGGGAGCATGGAGCTTTAGGGTCTGGAGAGAACTAGGTTCAGCCCTAGGTAAACTAAACTCTGCTGAGGACAATGTCTATAACTCTTTGAACTCTAGTTCCCACCTGTATAGTATAAGGTAATAGCTATTTTTCTTAATTTGTTTGCCATAAGAATTGAGACAGCATATGCCGGTGCCACAGAATTGTCTCAGTATCTGGGAAATGTTTCCCCTTCAACTCTTCAGCAGAATTAGCTATGGAAGGAAGATACTTAAGGAACAGATATGCTGGGTTTTTTGCTATGTAGTGGAAACGTGGGAATTGTGCTTCCTTATCAGATATTTTAAATTCTTTTATTCCTTTCTCTCCATGCAGGGCTTACCTCCCAAAAGATGGAAGGCCGAAGTGACCCACTTGAGCTGCCCAGCACCCGCCATGTTTGCCTTCTCCTCAGCCTCTCATTGCCCTCACTGCCCTCGGGCTCCACAAGGGAACTCCTTGCGAGAGATGTGGGTAGCAAGCTTCCAACAATCCAGAAAGGAAGCCCAGGCACTGAGGTGGCTGGTTGATAGGAATCAAAATTTTTCATCTCAAGAGTTTTGGGCCCTCGTGTTCAAAGACTGATTTCAAAATGCACTAGAGTGTCATAGACTGGATGAAGGTTGTTTTCTAAGTTGCCTTAATATTTGAAAATAACAGCTATTTTGCTGACTACCATGAGGAGAAGAATTAATTGCTGCAGTTATCATAATGAGCCCCATGAAATAATAGATATGAATTATCCTTACAGGCTGTCTCTGTATTTTTTATACTAAAAAGTGAGTATTTTTGATGGACATTGGGCATCTCCAGTTTACATGTGTAGATGCACATCCTTGCTGCCTTTTATGGAAAGTCACCTAATGTACAGTGGGTGTTTTCCTTGCTGCAGTAGAACTAGAAGGTCTAGCTGTGGGTTTTTGGTAGTTTTCTCACTGTCCGCAGCGTGTTAGTGTTTGGCAAGCCCAATGTCTCAGGGCCGAGCGTGAACACCAAGTGCATTAGAACTGGGCAACGAGAGAGTCCATCTGTTTGCTTCCAGGGATGAAGTAAGAAAAGCTTATCTGTCCAGCTTACCTGCTATGTACTCTATAATAATAATAATAATGATAATGATAATAATAATAATAATACCTGACAGGTCAAAAGAATATACGGATATCTGCCTTCTCCACATTCTCAGCCACCTCTGCAGCCTGTTTTATGTTCACCTTGCCCAGAGGCCTGCTCCCATTTCTCCTCCAGAGTGGAGAGTTGTGTAGAGATGTAACTCCTCTCTATGTATTTTTGTTTTGTTTTGTTTTTGTTTGTTTTGGGAGACAGGGTCTCATTAGATAGCCTAGGCTGGCCTTGAACTTGCAGTCCTCCTGACTCAGCCTCCTGAGTGCAGGAATGGCAAACATACATCATCATAACTGCCTTCCTTGTGTATTTCGATCAGTGAAATCTTATAAATCATTCCTTATATTGATGAGTAATAATAATTGTCTGGTTGAATCTGGCCGGCTTATAGGTTTTAATCAGTGTAACAGGGGAAATGAGATGCTAATTTGTCCCTAGGGTGATGCACAGCCCATCGCGATGGGCAGCCCAAGGTGTTCACTTTGTGAGCGTTTCCTGCTTTCTGATTCTATCACAGACGAGGTTCAGCTGTCCTTTCTGGGGCATCCCCTGGAGGTCCACGAAAGACGAAGAGAACACAGGCTCGCATTTTCTTTCTGTGCAACGGAGACACTGCAGCCTGTTGCCATCTGGTGTGTCATGGCTTCCTCATTCCGTACTGAGGAGAGGCTCAAGCCACAGCGGGCACCCAGAGGACATGGCATAAGGGGAGATTTTGGAATGCTCCCATGATGCCAGCCACCCTTTCATTGCCCACTAGTGCCACTATCGTGCCTACCATGGGTAGAGTCTTCTGTACATAGCCCCTCTCTGGCCATGGCAGCCAGCGTGTGAGAAATGAGGGCCAAGCCTGAACATCCTTTAGGAGCAGGAAGGAACATGTTGCTGGGTATCTGAGACTGGGCTCCCAAGCCCAGATCTGCCCTTAACTAAATGTGATCATGGACAAGTGTCTTAACCTCTGTGGGCCTTAGCTTTGCATCTAAAGCCAAATGACTGGGGCTAGACTTTCACATCATTTCCTGTGTAATATTCTTTAATTTTCATCAAAATTTAAGAGGCTTAATATTCTAGGCTTTTTATTGCTAAGACAGTAACAAACTAACTCAGAGCAACTGGGGTATACATACTGGGTAGTATTGGGGATGAAGGAGGCTTTATTTCTCTGAAATAAAGTAGAAAAGCTTAGAAAGGGGGGTTGTTTGTTAAAGGCTGGTTTTTAAACTGTATATTAAATGAAGTGGGCTACTCTCAGCACATCAAAAGAAAGCCCACAAGATCATTTTTGCCTGTGACAAGATATCATAGTAGCTTTAGTCCTTCTGCATAAATGCCTTGAACAGATAGCCATGGTGTAGATGCAACACGTGTGTCCTACACCTCCATGTTTCCTTCTTGCAGTCTTGTTCCGTTCTCCTTTATCACGAGTTCATAGGTAAAATCCCCCCCCATGCTTTTATATCCATGAACAAATTTAGTGAAACAGAATTGTCCATTGTCTAATACAGAAGAAAAATTTTATAGGTTAGAATGGATAAGGGGTTCCATGGACTTTAAAATGGTACTCATTTCAAAGAAAGTAAAGGTGCACTGGGATTCTGAGGACCCACAGATTTGAGACGACTTTGTTTTTCTTAGCATGTGTGTTTTCTGTAGCAGGGTTTTCATAGGTAAGACGATGCCTTCTTGTCTCTGACAGCTGCTGTTAGAATTGTGTCTTCATGGTGTAGCAGGATTCTTGGTAAAGCAAATGAGAGCTATGCTTTTTGAATGCTTTAGTATATTTTGCCTGGGTCTGTCAGCCACATCATGTTATATCATATCATATCTCTCTTTGTTTTTTCACTGTCTCCGTTTTCACTGTTTTTTCACTGTCTCTAACTGTGATTAAGCCAATGACCTCCCTCACGGGGCTGTTGTGGGAAATGACTCACGGGTGTGACTGGCTTTGCACAGTGTGACATTTTGTTTCATGGTTCAGTACATTTCACTTGGATTGTTATTAAGGGTAAATTTTCAAAGTAGTGTGACAGGATAGACAGAAATCTTTACAGAGCTGTTGGAGAAAATGACTACTAATGCTAATCAAGAGCCTTCACCTCTTTACCTGAAAGACAGCTTTGACTTTTAACCATGTAACAAATCTATTATTTCAAGTCCTAAACACTGACTCTCTTATTTCTTACTGTTGAGGACTAATTTCTAGTAAGTGGAGTATCAGTTGGGCCATTCTCATTGTTGGTCACAAATTGAATGCATATAGTATGCTGTGTACTATGCAGAAATAAAAGACACAAGCAAAAATGAGTATCATTCTCTCAGTCCACATTGAAAATTACACATTGGAGAACCAGCGTAATATCTGTAGAGCATTTTATGAGTCCAAACACAGTATAGACCGGTACTTGAAATACTTAATGTTATGTGCATTTTAAAAAGTCATTAGTAAGGCATAATTCCTGCGAAAGATAACAATTCACAAGAAGAATTCAGTGGTCTTATTCTGTACAGGCTGCTAGAACAGAATACCATGAATCACATTGCTTACAAACAACAGAAACTTGTGTCTCACAGCACAGGAGGCTGGCAAGCCCAAGATCGGTGTCAGCAGTGTTGGTGTCTGGTGAAGGCTCGCTTTCTGCTTCACACATGAACATCTTGCTGAGTCTTCACACAGTGGAAGGGAAAAGGGAGCTCTCTGCCACCTCTTCTGAGGGCACTAATCCTATTCACAAGGGCCCCACCTTCGTGATCTACTTACTCTTCAAAGGCTTCAACTCCCAATGCCATGAGGATTTTAACGTATTAATTTGAGCATCAGAAGAATTCCAGTTACAGCATTCTACCCCTCAGCCTCCAAAATCCCTTTCCTTCTCACATGCAAAATATATTTATGTATCTAAACAGTTTCAAACATGTTACGCTCTTCCAGCACCAACTGGAAATTCTCAGATCCAAAGTCTCATCTAAATATCATTTAAATCAGATGTGAGTGAGTTCAAGATGTGTTTCATCTGGAGGCAAATTGCTCTTAAGCTGTGAAGCCAAGTGAGTCATGTGTATCCTAAATATTATGGTGAGATAATGTAGGATTGATATACCCATTCCAAAAGGGAGATATGGGAAAGAAGAAAACATCCTGGGTAAGTCCAAATCATAATATTTTTGGCTTTCAGTGCTCTCCCTTCCAGGACAACTACGACGGAAGCGTTCAGCCTAGCTTGGTGAGACAGTTCCATAGCAGCTCTGCATGGAAGTCCCTTCCCCAAATGCAGTTCTCCCTGGTTGTGGGTGTTGACCCCTGGTGCCGGTCCTTTGACTGCCGAGGTAGAACGACTGTGTCCTCCAGTCCTGTGTTTTCTTTGTACCACTGGAGACCACATTGCAGGGACGTCGTGGAAGATTGCTGCCTGCTCCCTCTGGAGTGGCCTGCACTGCCCCAGGGTGCCTGGTGCTGCACAGGAGTGGCTGAGGAGTGTGGGGTCCCAGTGGGTGGAAGCGGCCTTTGACGTGAGCTTGTGCCAAGTAGCATGGACCCGAGTCCACCATGGTTCAGTGGTACCCTTCTTTGAAACTGCTCAGCTCCTTCCTCCTCATTCTTGTGCTCTGGATGTGTGATGGGAGTAGCAATTCTGAAGATCTCTCAGTCACTTTCAGTCTTTCTTCCATTATTTGGAGAATAGCTCCTGGCTTCCTTTGAGATGGATGATCAATACTAGTCTCCATTTTCAGAAGGTTATTTGGACACACTCTTACTGTTCTCTTTTCTCTCTATGAGATAGGCAGAGAACTGTCCAAGTGTCTAAAATTATTTTTGTGCTTAACAATTCTGTCTTTAAGTAACTTCTTTCTTCTCACATTATAAGTAGTCAAGAGGAGCCAAAACTGCACCTTCACCACTTTGCTTAGAAATAGCTTCAGCTAAATATCCAATTTCATCACTCCTAAGTTCCACCCTCCATAAAACCCTAGAACACAAACTTGATTCAGCGAAGTTCTTTGTCACTTTATAATAGGATAATTTTCCTCCCACTTTCCAATAACATATTCTGCATTGTTACACGAGACTTCATCATATGGGCTTTAGCATTCATATTCCTAGAAATGTTCTGTTTGGGATTACTAAAGTGTTATGGTTTAGATCAAAAATGCCCCCAAAAGTCTTATATATTCAGAGGTGGGGCTTTTGAAAGGTGGTAGGATCATAGAGGTGCTGTATGCATCAGTTAACCCACTGATGAGTTCACAACTTAAGTACTAGGAGATAGGGCCTGGTTGGAGAGGTGGTCACTGAGGGTGTGACCCGGAAGGTATCTTGTCCCAGCTTCTGTCTTCTTTCTCTGCCTCCTGGCTGCTTTTTCTGCCATGCCATTCTGCCTTGGAGCCAGCCAGCCATGGACTGAATTCCCCAAAACTGTGAGCCAAAATAAATCTCTCCTTTAGGTTGCAGGTGTTTTGTATCGGCAGTGGGACAGTGACTAAGACATCAGGTGTTCTTCAAGAAAACTGAGGCTTTTCCTACAGTTCTCCTTTCTTTCTGAGCCCTCACCTGAATTACCCTTAACCATTCATGGTAACATAGGCTTTTCCTAGAATTTACCTCCAAACTTCTCCTTTGCCTGATTCTGAAGGTGTATCCACATTTTAATTTTTTTTATATAGCAGCACACAACTCCTGCTACCAGTTTCTGACAGTCCATTTGGGCTGCTATAATAGAATGCCATAGACTTGCTGAATTATAAACAACAAAAATTTATTTTTCACAGTTCTGGAAGTTGGGAAATACAAAGTCAAGTTGGTGGCACATTAGTATCCTCTGAAAACCTACTTTCTGGCTCATAAATGGCAGTCTTCATGCCGTGTGTTCCCTTGGTAGAATGGATGAGGAAAAACTGGGATTTCTTAGGACACTAATCACATTTGTGAGGACCCCACGTTCATGACCTCACCCCCCCGCAAGGCCTTACCTCCTAATGCCATCATAGTGGGTCTGAATTTCAACCTTCTAGCCTGGGGGCAGGGACACAAACACTGAATCTGGAGTGCCAGTGTAGTGTTAGTTCTCAGTGAATAATATTCATCACCCTAAGGAAGGGTGGGCCCAACTCCACAAAAGTTAAGTACATCTTTCTTGGGTTCTTCAAAATGTACAGTATGAAAATTCATGGACCACAAATAATGCTGATTAGTTTATGTCTCATAAATTTACAACCTTGATATTGTATAAAAGACATCCTTACCATTTTGGAAAGTTTTCTTTCTTTTAATTTCTGTTGTCATTGGTTGTAATATCTTTACAATGTGATTCTGTTAACATCATCTTCTGACTACAGAAATTTAAAAATACTTGAGAAACACAGGGAATAAAGAATTCTGAACTATGGCTCTAGAGTAAGAAAGACCTACCCTTAGTTATCACTCTGCTAAGTGCTATCTTCATTATCTTGCTCAAGTTCTTTGGCCTTTCTAAGCTTCATTTTCTCATCTATATCCACCGTACTACCCAATATGCGTGTGAGGAGTTAATTGATTAAACAGGTTAACATTCATACTTGGCTCAGTAAATGCTGGCTGTGGGGGAATACTGCAATCCGCAGCCATTGTTTATTTTTGAAGATCTTGTTTAAGATTTATCCAGAGAAGGGGAATGATTACTGATAGTACCAGGGGTGATACGCTTCTGTTTTTTATTAGTTTCTTGATACTTACTGAGTGCTGTGAAGTCGGCATTTTGCTAGGCGCCATAACTGATGTGAATAAGATAGGCGAGAAAAAGCACGAGGGGTTCTGGGCAAGGCTTTGTGCTTTTATGGTGTGATTAAAGCCAGAGACTAAGGAATGCATGGATGACTTCATGACGCTCCTGGCCACAGGATTTCCTAAGGAGTTTATCTGCAGTACCCAGTAGCATAATGACCACACCAAAGCGCCCTCTTTACGGTAGCTGTGCAAACATGAACAAAATCCATGCACTCATTTCTTTTTTCTTTTCTTTTTATTTTATTTTATTTATTTATGGGGGGAGACGTTCCGGGGATTGTACTTGGGACCTTGTGCTTGGGAGGCAGGCGGCGGTACCACTGAGCTAAATCTTCGACCCTCCACGCACTCATTTCTGTAAAAGCTTGATTTGAGCATATGGTTCAGACCTGAAGTCTAAGTAGGATCTTTTGCTGCCTTTCCATCTCCTAGTTCTGATTCTTGGGACTGTTTAGGGTGCTGCCCCAAGGAAAAGGAGAGAAAAATGACCGGAACTGGGTCGCCGGACCCTGCTTCCTCATTCATTATCTGAAGATCAATAAAAGGAGGAAGAAGAGAACCTGATTAGGGCTTCCCTGAGGAGACAACCCCGCGCTCTCTGTAGGATGTGGATGTGATACTGCAGAGTACATGTGATAGCTTACTGTTCAGTCATAATATCGTGACCTCTGTGGCTGTAAAATGTGGTTCCCTTAATTTCCTAGGTTCCAACCTGCCAAATTTGCAACGCAGTGGTGCTGGTGGTAGGGCTTGTTAAGGAGACGAAGAGGCAGAGGTGTGGGAGGGCAGGATCGATTCTCTAGGATTTTTATCTACTCAATACAGTAGGCCCAACGATCAGGATTGTGGAGAACCGGAGGTGTAGCTGTATCCCGCAGAAGATCTTAGCAGTCATGATCAACAGAAGCCTCCATCTCCTGCGGCTTTTTCTTGATCATCTCTTGCTCTTTTGAACAGTGATGTGAGCAGTTCAGTGATCATTTCCGAAGCTTCTCAAGTGAGTCAGAATTGGACACTGATTGATGTCGCCAGGGCATTCTGAGCATTAATCCAAAAATATGATTATTGATCATGCGAAATGTGGTCACATCACTGAACCCTCTCAGCAGAGATTGTACAACCATCCCAAATAGACTTTATGAATATTCAAAATTTTCCTATCATGAATATCTTAATATTTAGAAAAAGAAATGTAAAGCCTATCAGGGTAGGTATGGGATATTAATGGGCTTAAGGCACGGCCTTTTTTTCCCCAAGAGCCTTTGGAATGAACCTAATAAATTGCTTCTTATGCATACAGAGTAAATTCATTTGTTAAGTCTACTTACAGGGATGAAGATCTGATTTTATGTAAGTCTTCCTGAACAATAAAAGTGATTAATTTTCGTAAACCCTAACCTTTTGAGTACATCTTTTTCAATCTGTTTGACAAGATTGGTGGTATTATACATAAAACATTTCTACTCTACACAAATTATGCAGGACTCTTGTGGGAAGAATCTTTGTGTGATCGTTCTGTGCCTAACTAGTCATGTTTTCATGAGACATCAGTATTACTTAGAAGGACATCTGGCAAACTGCTTGTTTAGTCTTGGATTTTTGTCAGTAATTTTTACAAATACAAAGTGAGCCTATCACTTTAGAGGATTCATAGAATTTGCCCCCAGTGAAAATTAAAATTTTGGAAAACTAATACATACCATTTTGAGCCTGACAACTTCCCAATAGTTAGACTTTCCTGATAAGATCAGTGGTAATGTTAACAGATGCTATTTTGACACTGAATAAAAGAGACAATGACAGATTGTTCTATATTTGTTTTTATATTTTTAAGGAAGGAAGAATAGTATATATTGGAAAGAGAGTTTTCAAAACTTAAACATTTTTAATTGAAAATTTCAGTGCAGCCTTTTTAACAGTATTAATAATATTGATTACTTGAAAATTGGGGTAAAAAGTGATAATCTGAACCTGTGAAAAAAAGTCTTTTAGTGTTTTAATTGGAAAACAAGAAAAACGTGACTTTAGGTATAAGAAAACTTTAAAAAATACATAAAAATGTATCAAGGAGTTAATCATTGAATCAAACAGCCTAGGATTGACAAATATTTTAAATTATTTTTATTGAGCATTGACTGCCTGCCAGGAATTTTGTGGGCTAAAGGAATACAAGCAGTGAAGGGAATGAACAAAACCCTTTTCCATAGAGCTTCTAATTCTAGTAAGGAATGAAAATTAAAATACTGTAGCAAAATGTAAAGCACAATATGAAAGCTTTTATTGCTTTATTGTGTAATGTCCTCATGAGATACAGCTTACGTCCTGACTCTGTGCCGCTCCATCTGAAGTGTGTAATGCGATATAAATGGCTTATATTTATGGAGTATGTTAAATGGGCTGTATTAATAACAAGATGTGTTACAAGTACTAAAAGTCCAACTCTGGAGTGAGTTGGCAGCTGTAGAAGCCAACCCTTTTCCTGCTCCTTTTATTTGTAACTCCACATTTATTCCTGTTGTCCAGGAGAAGGGGCATTTCTTCTGTTCACTTTGATTTCTCTCAAGAGTAAGAGCCCATGGGGCCAGGGATTTAGCTCAGTGGTTCCACTGCCTGCCTTGCCAGCGCAAGGTCCCAAGTTCGATCACTGGTACAAAAAAAAAAAAAAGAAACAAAAGAAAAGAAAAAAGAAAAAAAAAAAGAAAGAAAAGAGTATGAGCCGTTTCTCAGGGAAGGGAAAGGGGGAGAGCCCAGTGGGACAAATGAGTTTGCTCACCCTAAGTAGAAAGGCTGGGATAAGTGGGTGTCTACTAAGGCACAGGGCCTCAAGAACAGTGGAGTTTTATCTTACAAGCTGCATTAGATCACTGCCTATCTAGTTCTTATTCAGATGAATAAGAAAAGTCATCTGCCATTGAAGTAATCTACTGGTCTAACAGAGTGTGGGTCACATAGGTGAGCGTCTTTATTAATATAGAATCACAGATATCTCCTGCTTCCCGTTTTCATGGTCTAAATTTCCAACTTCAGTATGTGGTTACCCTGGAAGTGAGAGAGCAAAACACTGAAATGAACCAGGCCTTCTGTGCCACCCCACCCCCACGTTTGTGTTTATTTTATTTCGTGATTGATTGATTGATTGTGATATTGTAGATTGAACCTAAGGCCTCGCACATTCTAGGCAAGTCTCTACCATTGAGCTATGTCCCCAGCCTTTAGTTTTTAATTTTATTGAGACAGACTCCTGCAAAATTGCCCAGGCTGGCCTCAAATTTGTCATCTTCCTGCTTCAGCCTCCTAGGTAGCTGGGACTATAGGCATGCAACAGTGTGTCAGCTGTTCGTTTGTGCATGAGCTGTAGGGATGCTGTTGAATACACATTTTGGTAACTTGTTACTAAGAAAGATGATGGCGCTCTCTGTGCCCCTTTCACAGGATGTGCTTTGACTGTGATGATAGAGTGATATTACCATTCGTCATCCAGATTCAGATACTTTTGGGAGTGAAAGGGAGTCCTCTTAAGACTGGAAATGAAGTACCCCATATTTTAGCAGGTATGAAGATCGCAGAGTACTTTGAACCAAGGTTCAGAAACAGTGTCTGAGGACGGGGTGCTTGGATAAGGAAAAGACTGATGCTTCATAAGAGTGTCATGTACTGGACACTGGGCTAGATGCAGACATGTGTAATGACAGTTAAACGTCACAGGTATATGGTTTTGTTTATCCCTAAATTTGTAATATAAAGCAAAATTCAACCATGGTAGGGTGAAATTTGAACTTACTGGGTTTTTTGGAGAAGCCATTTAAGATTGACCAGTACCCTCTCTTCCTAGTGCTAGAGAGCCCCACATGTCCTGGATGGAGATGATCTTGCTGTAGTGGGAACCTCTTGGGTGGTCCCTTCACCTAAGGTGATGGAGGCACTGGTCCCCCTATCTTCTTCTTCTTTTTTTGTTTGTTTGCTGTTTTGAGACAGGGTCTCACTATATAGTTGAGACTGACCTGGAACTCACTATGTAGTCCAGGCTGGTCTCGAATTCATAGCGCTCCTCCTGCCTCAGCCTCCTGAGTGCTGAGATTACAGGAGTGTGCCACCACTCCCAGCTTCCCCCTATCTTCTAAAGGCAGTGAGTAATGTTTTTCCCTTCATCAAACACTTTATGAACTTTGAGAACATAGTAATTCTAAATAATCACGATGCCATTATCACACCCAAGAAATAGACCACTGACAATATTATTTAATACACATCCATATGCATAATTCCCTAGTTTCCTGAATGATTTTAGCTTTTTCTTGTTTCTTTTTAGTCCAAGATCTAATTGAAGATCACACATTGCATTTATTTTTATATACCTTTAATCTCTTAGAGCAGTTCCTCTGGTGTCTTGTTTTGTTTTGTTTTGCTCTTGGTATTTTGTGATCCTCACATTTATGGAAAGTCACCATCATCTGTCTTATAGAATATCCCACATCCAGTTTTATTTGATTGCTTTTTGTTATGATTAGTGAGTGTATTAGAGTTCTCTAGAGGAAAAGATTTAATGTATGTATGATTATACCAGGGAGGTATGTGGTGGGCTTGCAGAATCAGAACTGGAAGAGTCCAGAGGCCGTCTGCCAAATTGATGTTGGACAGCCAGAGGATACAGCAGTGGTTAAAGGCCGAAGGCCTGGAAGTTCCCCTCAGAGTCGGTGCTTTGACGGAAGGGTCTGTGCGAGCAGCCTGAAGGAACTGGAGATCGGTGTCCAGGACCAATGGTAAAAAGCTCCTCCGAAAAAAGGGGAAAGCCTTCCTTTTCCACCTAAGCTACAAGCCTATTGGTTGGCGCTACCGCATCTAGGGTGGTTCTTGACCCCTCAGTTTGCTGGGTTACGTGTCAATCCACAGATACACCCAAAATTTATTAATCTGCTAGGCAGTTCTTGGTCACATCAAATGGACATATCACAATTAGCAATCGCAATTAGATTCATGAACTCTTTCTCTGAGGATTGTTAAAACATCTCCAGTGAACTGAAGTGACTCTGACTGAGACTACCTGCAGAGGAGACACCGGTGGGCCCCAGCTTTGGGAGACTGTGGGAAGAGAAGTCTGGAATGGCCACTTTTGGGTGACGTCCAGGCCTACAGGACGGTCAGTTTTATGTACTGGGGTTCGTGTGTGCGTGATGAATGTGTGAGGTTGAGAGAGTGAGATGAAAGGGAAAAGTTGAGTGAGGGGAAAGAAAGACTATGGAGCTCTATATAGACAGAAAAACGTATACATGCTAGCA